AAACACTCTTGCCAATTAAATGACATACTTTTATTAACTACATCAGGATAACAGGCATTAACCAGGACTGTGCTGGGTATTACTACTCAATATTGACTACTTGCATGAATGTAAGCAAATAGCTTTCTCAAATCTAAGGATTGATTTCTTATACTTAAAAAAATGATTGTGTAAGGAAAGAGAGGATTAATGAAGAAATAATTAATTTTGCAAGAAACTTCAGGCTATTGTAAAAGACCTGAGTAGCATTAAGTAGCATTAAGTCAGATGTTACCAAGGAGACAGAACGATACCACATGTTCTTGGTAATTTGACCAATGTTTACGTTTACAGCAACCACCTACTCCTTTCCACAATGCAGCGGGTAGAACACACCCAGTTCAACATAATACATTGACAACTCCCATAAAGACAGGTAGAGAAAAAAATTGCTTTAGAACCAAGGTAACAGGCCTCCCTGGTGGTGCATGGGGTTAAGCACTGCACTATGAAGCAATCCAAACTCTGCAGCACGAGTTCGATCCCCGGCTGATCAGGGAACAACCCACATGGCACAGCAGACCTTTCCTGTCTAGCCCGCTGCTCCCCTCAGTAGTGTATTTCAGTCGGTCTGCCTGTTCGGTTCCCCACTCTGTCTCTGGTGAGTCCTCTCAACCCCCTGCATCTCTGGCCTGTGCCCCAACTCTTGTATGCATAAATAAACAAAACTTTTAAAAGAAAATAGAACCAAGGTAACGGATTCGGGGCCTCCCTGGTGGCATATAGGTTAAGTCTCAGCACTATTGCCACTATGCCCTGAGTTCAATCTGGCCAGGGAGCTAACCCACATGGCATAGCAGACATCTCCTGTCTCTCCCTCTGCTCCCCTCAGCAGTGTATTTCAGTAAGTCCTGCTGTTCTGTTCCCCACTCTGTCTCTGGTGAATCCTCTCACTGCCCCCCATACCTCTGGCCTCCACCTCAGTTCTTATATGCATAAATAAATAAAAATAAATCTTTTTTTAAAAAAAGGTAACAGATTTTGCTCAATGTTATAATGTTTAGAAGGTACTTGTTTTTTTTAAAAAATAAAATCTTTGTATTTCATTTTTCTGTATCTGATGACATATATGATATATACTGTTCCTTACATGTGTAGCATATGCAACAGATATGTGTTTATATATGCACATAAATATACCCATATGTATACATATATAATATCTATTCATCTAATGACGACTTTGCAAGAAAATTGAAGTTCCTGACCAAGTACCTTAGTGTAGTGTCAGCAATTAGAGGTTATTGTAGGAGACTGCAGCTTCCTCTGTCTCTGTGCCATGGACAGACAAGATTCACCTTGCATCCTATCAGCACTTAAGTTGGGACTTCTCAGGTATGATCTTTCAGTGTCTGACATCAAATGAGGAATTTTCCCTTTTCATGACTTATATCAAACTGTGATTCTTTCCCAAATCATTAAATGTCTCATGTAATGTACCAAATACAGCTGTAGAAAACTAATTTTCCTATTTATAATTTTTCTTATGAGTCTTATAAGTTTGATGCTAATATTTTCATTTCAATATAACAAAGCCAAAGCTCAGTGGAGGTGTGTGTTTGCCAAAGCTGCACAGTTAACAAGTGGTTAAGGTGGTATTCACATATAGTCTTTCACTATATGTGAAAGACACATATAGTGTCCAGCCAACATTTGCAGAATTCCTTCTATGTTCTAGGTACTAGAGATTCATTGTTGAATAAGCAGCCATGTCCTTGCTCTTGAGGACCTTATTTTCTTGTAAGAGATATAAGTGATCATAATAATAATGATTTTTGAAACTACCTAAAAACATGTGTTATCTGTGTACAAACATGTATATTTGTTTATAACACACATGTATAGTTTAATACACAGAAAACTTTATATAAATATATATGCATAGATACAAATATATGAAATAAGTGGAACTATGAAAACTTAAATGATGATAGTTCCTTAAACTAAAGGAAGAGTGTGAAATAAATTATGACTAATGTGACATAATTTATACAGGCAGTCAGGGAAGAGCTTGTTGAGGAGTGACAAGAAGTGTAACTATAAATGAGAAGAAAGATTTAGTCATAAAAAAACTGAAAGCAGCGGGAACAAGAAAAGAACACACCCATTAAAATGAAAATAGTTTTAGCATTTTTAAGAATGACAATCAGTACAGCCAGCCTCCAGGGAGAAGAGGGGAAATTGTGAGAGCTGAGTATCTCTCTGTAAGCTCTGTATCTATTTCTTCATAATGTTCACCTGACTAAATGTTCTTGAATATTCATATTTCAAAGATAATTCATGTCCAGCTTAAAAAAAATAGATTTTAAGCTCATAAGGGAATCATGGGGGGTGAGGGGTGCATTAGTAAATGATATAACTGGGCATTAGTAAATGATATAACTGGATCATGATTTCATGTCTGGCCAGTCAACTACAGAAAGTCCTGCTCCACAAAATATGGACATCAACCTGGATCTCCCAATCCTAGCAGGATAAGTAAACATTTAAAAGATGTAAGTTACTTTAACCCAAAGAAATAAGCAAAATCATCAGTTATTCATGAAAGTATCAAGCTTAACTCCTTCAGCAGCAGCAGTGCTATTCAACTGTATACTTGCTATCCAGTGGCATTTAAAGTCATATTTCTCAACTATACAAACTCACAAACCTCCATGAGTCATGCTGAATATTTTGGAACTTCTGTGTTTTTTATGCATAGTCTTTCATTAATTCATATTTATGTATATACTGATTCGACAAATAGGTACTGAATACATACCACGTTCTAGTTACTATGTCAGTGTTAAAGACACTGAAGGGACAAGTCAGGACAAGTCCTTGTCCCCGAGCAGCTTACAGGCCAGGAAGGAAAGCAGATGATAAACAATGATATACCACGTCAGATGCATAGAAATACAGGTGTGTGGAGGCAGAAGGTAGGAGGGTCTATTTTAAACATAGAAGGCACATGATGACCTCTCTGGGCAGATGACAGTTGAGCAGTAAGTAAACTAAATAGAAAGGAGGTCAAGACATACAAATAGAGGGTGGAAGAACCTCTTAGAGAAAATGCAAAAACCATAAAGAGAGAGATGATTTGATATTTTTTGTGGAACAACAAATAGGTGATTGTTGGAGGGGGCAATAGTTAGTACTGAAAATAGAGGGAGTGCCAACAGGAGACACAGGTCATGGTGATCCTTCTCAACTAGAAGATCCTTGAAAATCCGATTTTATGGTAATTTTGACAAGAAGGCTTGAGGGTAGTATATTAAGAAATTGGCTGAGGGCCTCCCTGGTGACGCAAGGGGTTAGGATGCAACCTCTGAAGCTGTCCGCAGCCACTGCAGCATGAGTTTGATCCCTGGCCAGCCAGGGAGAAGCCCACATGGTGCAGCAGACCTCTCGGGACTCACCCGCTGCTCCCCTCAGCAGTGTACTTGGGTCTATCTGCCTGTTCTGTTCCCCGCTCTGTCTCTGGTGAAACCTCTCACCCCCCATGCCTCTGGCCTGTACCCCAGCTTTTGTATGCATGTATGGATAATTCTTTAAAAAAATGGCTGAAAATGTTTTAGATAAACAAAAAAATACAGTGACTTACAGTAGATGATCATTTCCAATTCACTTTAAGCATAACATTTTCAAAAAGTTTATTCTGAAAACAGAATATCTTTATTCCAAAGAAGTCATATGAAATGTAACATTTTAGCAACAACATTATCAACCAGAATGTCATTTTGATCCCCAACTTAAATCACCTTACATTCTGCAATAACTTAATCATTTATCTGGTTGATATTGACACCGTGACAATATTTTTTTTATAGTAATCATACTCCAAATGTCAAAAGACACAGATAAGGGACCAGGAAGAAGAATAAGTAAAAGAAAGAAAATATCAAAATCAACAAATAACTATGAACAAGAGACACTCTATGGGGGTGGGAGGCGGGGAAAGGAGGGCTTGGGGTCAAAATAAGGGGGTTGTAATTGTATGGGGAATATAAAAATAAAATTTAGATTTAAAAATAAATAAATAAATAAATGATAATGATGGGAACTGCCTCCCCTCATAGGGTTTTTGTGAGATTAAATGTCACATCATTTAGGGTTACATAAACTATAATGATGAAGCTAGATAAATAATAAATAAAAATAAATAAATAAATAAATAAATAATAATAATACTCTAGCAGAGAGGGGGAAAATAAGAGAATACATACCAGATATTTCTGAGGGGAAATAAGTTAATCTAAAAGATGGTAAAATATAACAAGAAAATTAACAGGTGATAAATGAAACAGATCACTTAAGATAAAAATTTTAGAGCATAGAAAGGAAGTTCCAGACCACAAGGTTTCTACTTCCTGAATTAAAGTCACTACTTACCAAGTGATACCTTATTTCCTAGGGAAGTAATGAATGACAAACCTCTAAAAGTTAATTTCTGTCTTCCTTACTAAAATGATCTCAGACTGGAATGAGATCCATAACTTAGAGATAATAAAATTCTTATTCAACAATAAATCCTCTGACCTCAAACAGTGTGAGGTGAGGTTCATAGTCAACAAATAGTTATTAAATGTATGCATAAGTGACTGAATGAGATGCCAGGGAAATATTACTCTCTAAATCATTTCCAACTCAAAGATGGAATCCCTTTTAGTTCTTTACCTAGATATAACATCGTAGAAACCATTTGCTTTCTACAAATCTAAGGAGGATGTCTCCAAATGTGGGAAAATCCCACTTGGGTCTTCAGACTACACCTGAAGTTGTGAGAAAGCACATTTCAAACAACAGGGAAAGCCCACAGCTCACCACAACAGCACGTTGTAAATGGTCTGGTCCATTGAAGCATAAATTAAAGTAACAAGAGTCGTTGAGCATTTAGGTGACAAGAGGAAGGGGCGGAGACAGCAGAACTGAATATAAGTGCTAAGATATTTCGAGACTGAACCAGCGTTCCAGCACAGACTTTCACTGTAGAGTGACTGCCCTGGGATTAACTAGAGAACCTTGAATATGAGTCCTGGAAATTGCCCCCTAACAGGGAACCGCTTCTTGAATGTGAGGAGGGGACAGCGACGTAAGTCAGAAATTTTTTCTTACGTTCTGATAATATCACTGTCTCTATACATGGTGCGTAGCTGTACTTGGGGGAGAAAATGAGGACTTCACTTCTTTAAAAACTTGCTTTACTTCTATTTCGGTCAAGATAAAGGAGAGCCTGGGAAGAAGTAAATATATCTTTATCTAGAAGCCAACATACCTGAGGTTTGTGAGGAAATCACTAGATGCATTTTAGGAAAGTTTTTAAATATCTATTTGTTTGTTTAGTTTATAACATCTTTATTTTTCACATTTAATGAGAAACCCCCAGCGCTGACCCAGTTCACTGGCATTCATTTTTCTGTATCCAGCTGCACATACTCCAGGAATCATTGCCTTTCTTTATAAAAATTCAGTTCTCTGCACCAAATACACTCTTGATTTCTCTGTGACTCATCTTGTGTTCTGACAGCCACCTCTAGCTGCTGAAATGGAGGTTTCCTGTCTGAGAGAATAGCCATCTAACCATCTGAACATTTACAGTTCCAGTAGCAAATTTTAGGAGAATATCATAAAAGAATTCTTGAGTTTGCTACCACCTGCTTCTGCATTCACCCCGCCAATCACTGGCTTCACATGCTAGGTGAAACGTTTATTTCTTCCTTTCCATTGTTTCTCATTAAAATATCTTCATAGCTATGTATCATTTCTTCCCTTGCATTCATCTATTCTGACCACAGCACTATTTTTAGAACTGTCCTGTAAGTCCTCCGGGACTTCCTTGATTTTTTTTCATGTATTCCTTTCTTCCTAATTACTGAAGTACCCCCAAAACACTAGCACTTAGAAACCCCCAAAACACTAGTACTGAGAAACGTTTACCTTTAAGCAGCTATCCAGTAACAAATAGATGTGTTTTGTTTTTCATTTCTGTTTTGTTTTTGAGGTAACTGTTGTTTGTATCTTAGCACTATAACATTCTCCGCTTTAGGTGGTGTTACCATGGTGATGCCACCCCAAAGCTCCCATAGTCCTCTACTATGATCTGTTCTGCTCCCGCCCCGCTGTTTTCTTCCTCCTCCTAGTTGGTAGCCTCAGTTCTTAGTGTGGCCTTTGTCTGACTCTGGTTTCTCTACACTCCACCTTTAAGTGACATCATCCAGTGTTTCCCTCCCCCCCACCCCACCCCACCCCACCCCACACCACCCCTGCTTATTTCATTTAAAGTAATCCCAAAGGGATGTGTTTTTTTGTTTGCTTTTTAAAGATTTATTTATTTATGCACGAAAAAGCTATGGTACAGGCCTGAGGTGGTGGTGGGGGGAGAGAATTCACCTGAGACAGAGTGGGGAACAGAACAGGCAGACTGACTGAAATACGCTGCTGAGGGGAGCAGCAGGCAAGTCAGGAAAGGTCTGCTGCACCATGTGGGTAGCTCCCTGACCGGGGCTCAAACTCGTGCCTACAGAGGCTGCAGACAGCTTCATAGGTTGTGTCTTAATCCCTTGCACCACCAGGGAGACCTCTAAAGGGATGTGTCTTGAAATGCACAACAGAAACAATCTAGAGGACTGGGTTGTTTTGTGAATGTGTGTCTACCAGATTGGTTTGCTTTTAGAAAACCATCAGTTACTTCCCACAAACCCATCTTTCACTTAGAGGCACAAAATCAAATGTGGACAACAAATGCAAGCCACGTAAAACATCTGGTAACCAAGTGAACAAAATTTTGTGCTCCAATTGAATTGCCAAAAGAAAAAAATACAATAATAAAACTACAATAGAGACTGTAGTGGAAAGAAGAAAGACTTAATGCAAGCATTCTTTTCCTGACATCACCCCCCGTTTTCCCCTCTCTCTTTTTTTTTTTAAGATTTATTTATTTATGCATACAAGAACTGGGGTATAGGCCAGAGGTGCAGAGTGGGGAGTGAGAGGATTCACCAGAGACAGAGTGGGGAGCAGAACAGGCCAGAGACAGAGTGGGGAGCAGAACAGGCAGACTGACTGAAATACACTGCTGAGGGGAGCAGTGGGAGACAGGACAGGTCTGCTGTGCCATATGGGCCACCTCCCTTGCCGGCCTGGGAATCAAATTCATGCTACAGTGGCTGCGGATAGTGTCACAGTGCTGTCTTAACCCCTTGTGCCACCAGTGTGGCCCTCAATTTTCTCTTTACTGGTTAAAGTAGGCTGCCCTGTACTTTGCTTCACTAGTATGAACAATCATTGGGCATCACCACTGGCTGATTCAACATGTTAAAGTGGATTTATTTTCGATCTCCATTAATAGACATGGTGTGTGATCACAGAGGAAATGTGCTGGATGAGTTAGTACTTGCTGGGGACCCAGAGCTGCTGCTGCAGTGAGTCTAAGCAGCATGGGTGACTCTCGCATGACAAGAAGTGAAACTAGACAGAAGCTCTGAACTTGCTACCCTGTCTACCCGGGGCTGATGATCATCTGCTGGTGAAAAACAGAAGACTGGCTTTGAGGAGCTGAGAAAAATAGAACTAGATAGGAGGGAAATGAAGGCTACTCTTGCAAAATCTGAATGCAGATATATGCTGGGAAAACCTCCCTGATGGTGCAAGGGGTTAACACGCAACCTATGAAGCTATCTGCAGCAGTAGCCACTGCAGCACGACTTCCATCCCCAGCCAGGGAGCTACTCACATGGCACAGTAGACCTCTCTTGTCTCACCTGCTGCTCTCCTCAGCAGTGTGTTTCAGTCAATCCACCTGTTCTGCTTCCCACTCTGTCTCTGGTGACTCCTCTCACCCCCCACACCTCTAGCCTGTACCCCAGTTCTTGTATGCATAAATAAATAAATCTTTAAAAAAATAAATAAAAATGAATCCTTAGTTTCTTTGGGGAAAAAAAGTTGATGTTGACAGTACTTGGAAAGAAAACAACATCTCTTTGCCCAGTTTAACTTTAGGTAAATGCCTGAAGAGGAAAAAATAAATGAATTTCAAGATACATTCTATGTAGACATTCTTTTAATTATAAAATTTACCCATACTGAAAAACAGAATTTTTTTGGCATTTAATATTATCCAAGTAACTGTGTTCTATTTCAGTATCTTGAGATCATAATAAGGGACTCTACATTTCTAGTGAGGCCAAATTTTAAAATCCTGATAGCTCATTCTGGAAAAAAGCAAATACAAAGTTCATCATAAAATATCATTCTTTGCTTTCTCAATTATTTGTTTATATTTTAAAAAGATAGCCATCTTTTTTTAATAACATATGCATATTCCAAATCTTTCCACTAAAAATATTTTCTGGTGATGAAACCTGGCTTTTACTTTTATTCAATGTTATATAAGCCATAAATGAAAAAATAATCTTCCACACTAAATTTGGTCTATAATTCTGTTATGTTTCCTTCCCCTGGGAATTTAAGGATTTCAGTATTCATTCACAGATCATTTCTTATTAGGTATAACTTACTTACAATGCATAGATTAATCAGTTAGACCCATTACCAACACTTGAAATTGTCCATCACTCTCAAAGGTATGTTCCTTTTCCTCTTAAATTGTCCTTCCTACACACACAAAAGCAATCACTTTTCTGATTTCTATCACCATAGCTTAGTTTGACTCCTGTAAGTGGAAATATGTAGTATATAATTTTGTCTGCCTTTTTTTTTCATGCAGCATTTTTTTGAGAATTCTTCATCTGTTAACCTGCCATAATTTATCTTATTTTCCTATTGATGAATATTTGTGTTATTTCTACAATTTGGTTCTTAATAATAAAGTTGCCACAAGAGTTCCCGAGGATGATCTTTTAGCACATCTTCTAGGGTAATCAGATATTTAATATATGTTATTATGATTAAAACAAAATTACAATAGTCTTAGAATTTTTATAGCTACTAACTACATAGATTGAAGAGATATTTCATGATCTCATTATTATATTTGGGTTATTTCATGTTGGGCCAAGAAGAAACTGACGAAATTCAATCAAATTTTGAGGGACATTAACATAAACATTTCATATTAAAAAATGGGGAGACATGTAGCTATTTTTTCATTTATAAGCCTCAAGACAACATCAGCGTTCTGTTCTACTGTTATCATTTGCCTAAATTCATCTTCAATTTTCTCTCTGCAGATACCACCACCAGCTCTCCTTTTGCAGAACCTCATGAAGGGCCCCTACTAGTGCCTATCCCGTGTGCTGTGCTGACTGTGGTCATCATCACTGTCTCAATCATGACTATTGTTACTTTATTTGGTGGGTTTGCACTTCATGAATTCATTCAGTGTCTTAGAGATAGGCATTCATGCTCAGCTGAAATCAGTGGGGATTACTTATTTTAATCAATTAGAAATCCTGCTTCATTCAGCACCAACACATATATCATATTGGCCAATTTACTAATAGATAATAAATATAATTTCATGTTCCTTGAATGATTAATACATTTTGTGTGTGTTTTCTAGAGCTTTTTTTTACAAGTATTAGAATTTATAAAACTATGTTTTATAGATTACTACAGAGGAAATTACATCTGGGTAGATGTTTAAATCTGAAATGAAAAAGGGCTGGTTTTGATCCCAAATACCAGTTAACATTCATTGTTAATGGAAAAAATATATTTAAGCCATACTTTAATTAGTAACTGCTCAGTCTTTTATCTCATAGGCCAGAGGATAGTGGTTATGGATATCTAAGAATATATCTGGAAGTTCTCAGAGTCAGCTGTCATATGGTATTCAAAACATACAGCTACACTGAGACACATTGTGTCTTTTACAAACATGAAATTTTGCGGTTAGGTGAAACATCCCCATGCAAAGATCTCTCAGTAAAATTAATCACTTCTCTAAAAATTATTTTTTCTCTATCGCCCAATATAGTGTTATATCTATTTTATCTTCAGATTCCTCCACCTCTGCATTCATATTCAAACTCTAGTTTGGAACTTAGAATGCAATTCTCCTTTCTAGTCCAAAGACTACTTTCAAGAGTTTTATATTTTCCTGCCACTCTCTGACATTGTTGCCAAAGAGAAGCTCCCCTCTCCCACCAACCTTGTTTCCTATACCCTGTTCAATGATGATTAAGCACAATGGTAGATCAGAGAAGGCAAGAGCTGCCTTCTTATCTTCTCACAATTCTTGACTTTCATCCTCCACTTCATCGCCTAGCTCAACACAGCATCCCCTGAGCAAGTTTTGCAGCTGTGGGTATTCAGTTTCTTCTGATACTAAAGCCAACCATTTTTTGGTTCACAGTGGGCAAATACAATTGTCCAGACCAATATATGCCTTCAGCGCCTTCCAACAACAATGTTTCTTCAGCGCCCTCCAACAACTATGTTTCTTCATGCTCCAACGACTGGATCGGATACCAGAGGAAATGCTACTTCATTTCCACTGCGAAAGGGGACTGGACCTCAGCCCAGAAGGAGTGTGTCCAACATGGTGCTGCTCTTGCTGTCTTTCATTCTGAAAAGAAGGAGAACATGGTAAGATACTGATCAAAACCAAGTTCATAAAATATCACTGTTCTCTCTTGTACAGCTAATCTGTGGCTTTTATCTATTTCCTTCTCTGTGATGACATGGTATCTATCTTCCGCGTAGGAAAACTCAGTCACAGAAAACCAGGTAATCAGTCTGAGATCAAAATGATAGTTCAGTTCATTCTTGTAAATTTGACTTTATTGTTTAGCTTCAAAGGCAGAGATTGAAATGAGTTGATCCTATGTAGAACTAACAAATGATCAGATTAGCTAGAAAGCCATAAATCACACCTTTTGAGGATCAAGACTTACTATGTATTTAACTAGAGTAATTATTTAACCTACATCTATCTTCTTTCTTCAGAGGTCTTCTGAGAGCTTTTTACAACGATACGTGGGTGCAGAAAAACACTGGATTAGACTGATTACTCAGAGTCCTGAAGTGGGACACACATGGAACTGGTCAAACAGCAAAGAAGAGATGTGGTAAGTTTTAGGAAGTCTCTTCATGCTCCCCAGGTTGGTAACTCAGGGAAACCAATTTCAATATGAAGGTTGAACTCTGAATGAGCAAAGTCCTAACAATCCATTGTGTGTAAATACTCTATGGAATTCTGTCAAGGAAGGCTTTAGTATTACCTTTCCGGTTTTATCTCCTTGTAATTTATATGATAAATGCTTCTAGTAATTTTATGTGAGCAAATTCTAGTGGAGTTATACACTCAAATATTCCAGGAATAATTATACTGATGCAAAAATATAGTATGTCCAACTTCATAGTTATATTTTACTGATGAACTAGTTTCTGGAAAACAATTACCTCTTATTCATTCCCAGTTCTCATCTCCACAGGGATTTAAAAAAAAAAAAAAGTTTTCAAATCTAATAAGAACCTTTTGTGGACCGGAGAGAAAACTTGTCCCAGAATTTAAGATATTGATTTTATTTGTGTTACTTGCAATTAAAATACATTTTATAGTTGAAAGGCACTTCATAAGTTTAGTTTACACCTCTGCCATCTGAAGACTCAGAACTGAATATATTTCTAGTTATCTAAATAATTTTGATTATTATGATAATGACTTATATCAAGGATAAATTCAAATTTCTAGAAAGCAATTCTTAATATATGTGTCTTAATATACCATGTCCACAAGTGGACTTAAAGGGTGATAAATGCCTAAAATTGTTTGCATCAGTATGCATGATAGTTGAATGTATATACTTTCTGGGAAGTGTTTCCCCAAGGGTTTGTGAGCTCAAAATGATCAAAAAGTACTCCTCAATCAAGTGAAAGGAGTTTTGTATCTTCCGCTATGCCACTCCTTCCCACTTTGTCTGCAGATGAGTCTATGTTTATTGGCTGGAAGACTTGCCTCATGTATTGTTCCTTAACTGACAAATAAACAAACAAAACCTGAGTTCATCACTATCACACCATCACTAAGTTTATTCTCTTAGGGAATGAAAACAATGACTGAATGAAAACAATGGACTAAAAATACTTCTGCTTCTCTTTTAAAAAAAAAAAAAAAAGATTTATTTATGTATACAAGAGCTGGGGTGCAGGCCAGAAATGGGATGGTGAGAGGATTCACTAGAGACAGAGTGGGGAGCAGAACAGGCAGACTGACTGAAATACACTGCTGAGGGGAGCAGCAGGCGAGACAGTAGAGGTCTGCTGCACCATGTGGATACCTCCCTAGCAGGGGATCGAACTCATGCTGCAGTGGCTGTGGATAGCTTCATAGGTTATGTCTTAACCCCTTCTGCCACCATGGAGGCCCCTAATTCTGTTTCTTGATTGACAGGTTCAAACTCACAGGATCTGTGAACTGCACGTTTTTGAACAGCACAGGTGTCTACCGCATAGAATGTGAAGAGAAGTTACCCTGGATATGTAGCAAGCCTTCCATTTAATGAGGACACATCTGCTCATAAACTTATCCTCTCATGAAACCTAAGGAAACTTGTATCGATGAATGCTGCTCAATGGTCAGAAGTTTTCCATAAAGACTTTGTGAAATATAAACAACTCTGTATGATTTTGGAAATCTTCCTCTAACCAAGATTGTGGAAAAAGGGGAGAGGAATTCAGTAATATCTGCACTATGGAATACCCTAGCCATGAGCTGCAAATGTCAAAGACTGACTGATAATCATGTTCAGGGATGAGAAGAATGACTCTAAACCTTTCCTGTGCACTTTATATTTTTTTGAAGTTCAGAAATAATAAAATAACTAGGTTTAGAGTTATTATTTATTATTGAATGACAGCCAACAATGAATGTCCTTCAAACATTTGCACTATTTGAAGGAGTCAGAAGACAGTATTAAAAACTGAATGTATATAAAGGGAATTTTAGCTGGTGACAGATATTTAGTATAAATACATTTTTGAAACCTTGGCATTTATAGGTGGACAAATGCTTATGGAACTAAGCTTTGTAATATTTCTCTCTTTTTAGAGAATTTTTTCAAGTTACTTTGTCATTTTTTTCTCTAATTATGTATTTATGTTTTTGTTGTGTGTGTTTGTGTGTGTGTGTTTTACTTCTTCAGTGTAGACTAGTTTATGTTGATGGTAGTTAGCTCACTGCCTTGAAAGCCTGTATAATGTTTAGAGATAAAGGCAGAAGCAAAGAATTGGAGGAATATTTGTAAAACAGATAAAAGATTGGCAAATATGTCATGTGTGATGTGATAAATTCCCACCAAGAAAATTTCTGTTTTGTTCAGACCTGAAAGAATGCTAGTTTTATCTGATTTAAAATCCGAGCTTCTCCTTAATCAATTCTAACTTGTGCAATACTTCATGCAAAATATTTTCTAAGTGCAATAAAGTGTTTGTTTGTTTTTGTATCCAGTACAATTGTAAGTTGATCATATGCATGTTAAAATAAATTTTTTTAAAAAAGGGTATCCAAGAAGTGTTCATTCCTTCAAAATATACTAACAATTATATAACATACTAGAAAGTAGAAAAAAGAGTACTATAACTTTTTTTAAGTGTTCCTATAGTAAAACTTTAGCTTGATAACATGGTCTGTACTTCTTGAATAGTTTACATATATGTATTTAAAAAAAGCCGTATCTATCTTTTTGTATATAGGAGAGTTTCAGTAGGTATTATAATTAAATAGAGAGGAATTTATATCATTGACCATTTATTTGTTCTTTCCTATCTTATATTATTTTTCACCCTCACACTGAAGAGACAGAGAAATTGGGAGATGCCTAAAGTCCTACGAGCTGGTTATAAGCTTGTCCTCCAATAAGAGCATCACTGGTTCTCATAACTAATTCTTCAACAGCATGTTGTTCAATTCTGAAACACCCACCTATTTTAGTATCTACATAAAACAATTCATTCACTAGAAATGTTGAGGTGCTACATTATCTTCAAGGAATTTTTTTTTTTAAGATTTATTTATTTATACAAGCACCGGTTAGTCAGAAGCGCTGGAGGGTGAGAGAACGCACCAGAGCCAGAGTGGGGAACAGAACAGGCAGACTGATGAAATACACTGCTGAGGGGAGCAGCAGGCGGCAGGAGAGGTCTGCGCGCCATGTGGGACCCTCACCAGCAGCTGGGGATTGAACTGGCACTGCAGAGGCTGCAGGCAGCTTCACAGCCCAGGGCTCAACCACTGCACCACCAGGGGAGGCCCTCTTTTTTTTTTTTTAAGATTTATTTTTGTGCAAGAGCTGGGGTACGGGCCAGAGTCATGGGAGGGTGAGAGGATTCACCAGAGACAGAGCAGGGAGGCAGAACAGGCAGAAGGACCGAAGACGTGACTGAGGGGAGCAGCGGGCGAGACAGGAGAGGTCTGCCACACCATGTGGGTTTCTCCCTGGCCGGCCTGGAATTGAACCTGTGCTGCAGAAGCTTCAGACAGCTTCACAGCACAGCGTTCAGCCCGCTGTGCCACCGGGGAGGCTCTCTCCAAGGAGTATTTCAGCCTGGGATAATCTGATTACCTTTGAGATGGTTTTATGAATATATTATGTAGTAGTCTCCTTCTCTGAAAGGTGGAAATGTAGGATACAGGTGTTGTCTTTAAACTTCCACACTGGTACTCACATGGAGAAGAAATAAGGATTCCAGATACTATTTAGAGACAAGTCATAAAGAGGTTCCTTAATCTTCCTCTGTCCCCACAGCTGTAAAATGAAACCAATTGCCTGGAAGCTTTTATGTCATCATTTATGACAACAATCTACTCCCAAGTCCTCCTCAAAAACAACATCCTGTGACTTGTGAGCTGTGAAAGTAGGAAGTGTATTTTAAGAGCTGGAGCACAGGGGAAATACTATCTGCCACCCACTAGTTAACTATTTTTGTTAGAAATAGTTGAAAATGTAATTAAAATTAGCGAGGAATTCAATTAGTTAACACTTGAAAATGGACATAGAACAGTAACCAGTGTAAAGTAAATCCCTAAGATGTATTACATATGATGTATTACATATGATGATGATGATGAAAACAGGAACACTTTGTCATTAAATCTTTAATATTGGCATAGACCATCATTTCCACGTAATATGTCCAGCTCTACATAGCATATCTTATTTCTGTTTTCTTTTTGAGGACCTTTACAGAAATTCACTCAATGAGTGATTTTTCCCCTCCACTTATGTTCATTGAGGTAATGTTGGTTTACAACACTATTTTATGGATTATAGATTCATACCTCTACAAATGTATTTTTCACAGCCACACCATGAGCACAACCAAAACCTCAATAATCCTCCACCCCACTGGGACCCCATTGGGTCCCCTCCCACACTCTCAGCTTTTACTCTCCCCCTTCCATTATTAAGCAGCTACTTTTGTGGTGGGGAATAGAGTTAAACACCATGCAAATTTAACTTGGTAACTGGCTTTGTAAAATGAATGGTCTATTTATAAAACAAAGAGTAAATGATTATATTTATGGGGGGTGAAATGTGAATTTTTTTCACATGCAGTGTAACTATGTTGCAAATAAACTACTTTAGTTGCTTCTGTATTCAAACTTTTAATGTTAACTTGGTAGGCTATATTCACCTAGGATAATTATATTACAATGTGCTGAAGATAACTATTAGTTATCTGTGCTTTATTTTACTTTTCCAACACAATTTCAGTATCTTTCTCTGGCAAAGGGAGTAATCCTTCATGTTTTTATTTCACATAATTATTGATATTCGGTACAATTAAAAGTATTTTAGAGAGGATAAAATTCCATTAAAATATTAGGTTTGGGCCTCCCCGGTGGCGCAGCGGTTGAGCGCTGGGTTGCGAAGCTGCGCGCGGCCTCTGCGGCGCCGGTTCGATCCCCGGCTGCTCCCCAGCCACCGGAGGAGGGTCCCACATGGCGCGCAGACCTCTCCTGCCGCCCGCTGCTCCCCTCAGCAGTGTACTTCGGTCCTTCTGCCTGCTCTGCTCCCCGCTCTGGCTCTGGTGAATTCTCTCGCCCTCCCGCGCTTCTGACTGTACCCAGTGCATGTATAAACAAAACAAACAAAGAAACCAGCAAACAAATAAATAAAGCATGCCTCTATAAAAAAAAAAAAAAAAAAAAAAATATTAGGTCCTTTAGTCAGTATTCAAATGATTCAAGAATTTTATGACACTATTATAGAAATAATCTTTCTAAACTTGTTCTTAATTTCTATAAATTTTACTGTCTTTTCACAAATGGAAATGTATCATAACTGAAATTTAAAAGCTAATAAAATGCTGGAAAATAGGACCAGAAAGATTTCTGGCGATTATATGAATTGATTTCATTTACCTTTGGGAAAAGTTTGAAAATACTTAATCAAAACCCTCTAAAAAAATTCATATTGGTTTTGGTGTGACCATTTTGGCCAGAAAGAAGTGGGAAGACCATAAAAGAATAATCTTGGGTATACAAGACATTTTTGTGGTGATAGATCAGAAGCCACTTCATGCTCCAAAAATGAAGATTTAATGAATGAATATGATTCTACTACGTGACAAAATAATATTCCAACACTAAGATATAGTAATGGAGATGCACTAACTATTATTACTAAGCCAGTCAAAAATAGAAGATATGGGGCCTCCCCGGTGGCGCAGCGGTTGGGCGCTGGGTTGCGAAGCTGCCCGCAGCCTCTGCGGCGCCGGTTCGATCCCCGGCTGTTCCCCGGCCACCGGAGGAGGGTCCCACATGGCGCGCAGACCTCTCCTGCCGTCCACTGCTCCCTTCAGCAGTGTACTTCGGTCCTTCTGCCTGCTCTGCTCCCCGCTCTGGCTCTGGTGAATTCTCTCACCCTCCCGTGCTTCTGACTGTATCCAGTGCATGTATAAACAAAACAAACAAACAAATAAATAAATAAATAAAAACATGCCTCAAAAAAAAAAAATAATAGATATGATGAGATACATAAAAGAAGATTCTATCCTGTTTAATACATGCGTGTGCGCATGTGTGTTGTGTTTCCATGTGCTGAAAGACAAAATAGCTACATAGGTCAGCATAATAGCTTGTAGGTTGTATTTATTTTCTTCTCTATGGTTCTCCTTAGTTTCAGAATATTTTATAATGAAAGTTATTTTACTCAATAAGAAAAGCTTTTGAATAAGTCTAAGTATAGGGAAATAATTTCATTATTTAAAGCACTTCTATAAACTAGTAACCAAATACAAATATTAGAATAAGTTTGCTTCAAGTATCCAATCTGTACGGGCCTCCCCTGGTGGCGCAGTGGTTGAGCACTGGGCTGTGAAACTTCCCACAGCCTCTGTAGCGCCGGTTCGATCCCCGGGAACAGGCGAGAGTCCCACATGACCCGATAGACCTCTCTCTCCTGTCATGCCCCCTGCTCCCCTCACTAACGTATTTCGTCAGCCTGCCTGTTTTGTTCCCCGCTCTGGCTCTGGTGAATTCTCTCACCCTCCCGTGCTTTTGAATGTACCCAGTACTTGTATAAATAAATTTTTAAAAAAAGAATCCAGCCTATACTAAATTATCTATA